CTCCTCTTCAAGTCTGAGAGCGACATCAGTTCGCCTCGTTTGTAGTTCGGTCAGTAGAACGGCGAGGTATAGCTTGCGAAGGGGCATGATTCTCAGTTGCTCGTAAATCGCTTCGGTGGGGTGCCGCCTACTTCGTTTCGACAATATACGAACGCAAGAATTTTGGACTGCCTCGATGGGCCTGAGTAAAGAGCGAAATGCAGATCCGTAAGCGAGGATTCCATACCGGAGATGAGACTCAAAGAGCGCATGATAGACTTCCCTGAACACACCTCTGGAGGACGATCTTCCGAGTTTTGCCAGTGAGGCCACAATTGGTCTGAGCTTCTTCACGAGGTTGGCAATGTGGGGTTTCCAGGAAAGTCCATCGTCAATCGTAATGCCGAGGTAGCGAGTTTCCCGAGCACAGGAAATCACCGGGCAGGAGCATGTCTGATCATGGGGGCAGCTTGAGTGGATCATGATTCCTCGGTCGGGTTTTCCCAGTTGATTTCCGAAAATCATGTAGTTACATTTCTTGGCGTTCAAAAGAAGTCCATTAGCGGATGACCACTGTCTCACGCGAGTGGCAGCCCGCTCGATTTCTAAGAAGTCAATCCCAGATTGGAAGTTGATGAGGAAGCAGGTGTCGTCCGCATAGCCAATCGATGTGATCCGATCGTCATTCATTTTCAATAGCAAATCATTTATGTATATTATGAAAGCCAGAGGAGCGAATACCCCCCCCTGGGGGGCTCCGGATAGCAAAGGAGCAGGCTCGGAGTGATGTTCCCCACATCGTAGGCGTTGCGATCTCGAGTCAAAGTAGGATGAAATGACCTCAAGTGCGTGGCCGGTAACCCCCAGACGATCTAATTTGTTGATGAATGCTTGATGAGGGAGGCAGTCGAAAGCTTTAGAGTAGTCAGCGAAGAACACCACGGGGGTTAATCTGGAGTCGATTGATTCGATGATTGAGGAATGCAGGTCGAGCACCGCGTGGTTTGTTCCACGACCTCTTCTGAAGCCGTACTGTCTGTCAGACAGCAAATGATTTCGCTCAAGATGTCTAGTGAGTTGATCGACAACGCAGTGCTCAACAACTTTGCTCAAGGTGCTCAGCAGTGAGATGGGTCTGTAATTGTGAAGATCCTCCGTTCCACCTCCCTTGTGAATTAGAATGACCTCTGCCTCCTTGAATCTTTCGGGATATTTCCGGGTCTGGAAAATGCATGCACACAGATGTTGTAGAATTGGTACGAAGAAACTCCTATTTGATTTGAGCATCCGGCTGGTAATGCCGTCCCTACCGGGTGATCTCCCATTCGCCAAGCGGCCGATAATCTCTTCAATTTCAGCGGGGGAAGGTGCCATGAATTCATGGAGCGGCACATCGATGTCTTGCATGTGAGGATCAGGAACACCCCGACTCGGCCCGATCTCAGCCGCAGTCCGTTCTCCAGTCTCCGCAAAGAAGGTGTTTGCCGCGTTCATCCTATTGATGTCGATATCAGCTCCCTTCAGGAACGAGGGGTATACTCTAGCTTTCGACTTTCCTCTGATATGTTGATTGATTATTCTCCATGAGGTTTTGGGGTCACCGGAGTCCCTCAGTGCCTTCTCAAAGTGTCTCCTCTCAGCTTCTCTCAGCAGTTCTCTAAGCCTGTTACGGTACTTGTTGAAGTTTTGTCTGATGAGCGGGTCATAGGGGTGAGCCTTAACCCTCTGCCATAGCTTATCCCGGGTCCTGATAGATCTAAGAAGCCCACGTGTAATCCAAGGCTTGAGCGGGACAGTTTTCCTTCGGACAGGGATGATCGTGGAAGCAACATTTTTTTACTGTCGATGACCTCATAAAGTCGATCAAGGAAAGAGTCAGGATCATCCTCCCCCATCATGGCCTCGATGTCCACTCGGGCAAGCTCCTCGCAAAATATGTCCCAATCAATTTTGACAGGTGAACGGTTCGTCCGCATGGCAGGAGTCGGTGTTGCCTGTCTGAAGAGTCTGATTTTGAGGATCTCATGGTCGGACATGCCCATCGAGTCAGTGCAGCACACCTCATAGCCGTCCAAGCTGTGGTTTCTGAGCAGAACATGATCGATGATAGTGCCAGTGCCGCATTTGCCCTTGCGCGTGAAGCCCGTAGGACACCACTCAAGCCCGTGCTCAGCCATTTTGTTCAAAAAGTCACTCTCATGGGGATCGTTCCCACTCAGGTCAATGTTGGTATCGGAGAGCCAGATAAGATCCCTCGATTTCTCACAGCATGCCACAATCCGCTCCACACTCTGAGAGATGAAGCGATCAGTATCCGAAACAGATGCTGTCGGCGAGCGATATACACCCGCCATATATAAAGTTTTGCCCGCAAACATCATACCGACCACGCATGCCTCGCAGTCCTCTGAGAGGTTCTTGACATGAAAACTATCAATGTCGCTCCTAATATAGATCGCCACACCGCCGGCCATACCTGCATCGCGGGAATTGAAGTAGGCATTGTAGCCGCCTACAGTGAACAACTGTTCCTCCCACGAATAAATCCACGTCTCCGTAAGCACGAAGGCATGCGGTCTCTCTTGTAAGTTCTCTAAGTTGACTAGAAAGCTGTCTAAGTTGCTTCTGATGCTCCTTATATTCAGGAGATGAATGGTCAACTCTCCCCCCTCTCCGGCAGTACAATTCTCCATGTGATCAAACGAAAAAAATTTATCCACACGTGAGCCATTGTGTCGATTATACCGCGAATATAAGTTGTAACAATATGGACGCAGAATATCGAATCTGTGTGCATAGAAGTCGATCCACGCAAGCCGAGTCCGGTCAATTACGCTTCTGATTGGGCTTTTTCGATTCTCTGACAGTATGGCTTTCATTTGTTGCCTTTGATTCTGCTCGCTTGCGGTTGAGTCTGACCGGTCTTCCGATTGCGGCTGCTGGACTGGTTGCGTGTAGCTGATTATTCACGAGTAGCTGGTCCTTGAAAGCCGTCAGTTCTGCCATGTCATTAAAGACGTGTGTCGGCGACGTACGATCTTTACGGAGTTCAACTGACTGACTATCGCTAAGGGGGCGACACGACTCCCAAGACATCTCACGCTTTAAAAGCGACGCAGCTCTCAAGAGCTGAGTCAGATGCCTGCTTAGCTGAAACCTGACCTCCATTCTCGAGTTGCGGTCCAGACCGATCAAGTCAGCCGTCAGGTTTGGATGTTTCCGAATTTGGTGAAACGCTTCTTGAGCGTGTAGTCTGCTCTCGAAGCTCACCATTATAGGACTCAGGGGGTTTTTTCGATTCAAGCGTTGAGCACATATAATTCGCACTGTCACCTCAGTCTTTGCAAGAAGTTTCCTGGCTAGGTTCTCAGTTTCACTTCTCGTCTCTTCCGCTTTCCCGGGAATCCCAAAGAACAGCAGGTTGTTCGCTTTCATCAGCTGTTCATTGACGTTGCACTGCAGTCGGTTCATACGGACTTCTTCCTTCAGTACAGTGTTTTCCCGTTCGAGTCCGACCACCCTACTCTGGAGATCAACAAGCGTTTCCTTTATCTGTGCGATCTCGTTCAATTTAGTTAGTACCTCCTGTTTATCAGCGGCCATTTCAGCGCGCATTGAACGCAGCTCAGTCAGAATCGCCTCAGTGGCCATTGCAGGCTCGGGGAAGGGTAGATTTTCACTAAGAGCGGTCCGGACAGTCGAAGCAAGAAACAGGGGGTACACAGTATTCGGTATTTCAGGACGCTTCACGGGATATCGACACTTTTCACACTCAAATCGAGAGCGCGTGGGTCATCACATGTAAACAAAGATGGCTTTCGAAACCGAATCCGATTATCTGCGCTCGCTGTCGCATGGTCGTCGAGATCCCGAACGTGCAAGTCTGGCGTCGAAATCGCCTATCGGACAAAACGGAATCCGTCGGCTAACACGATGTCATGGAACACCAGTCGAACTTTCCTCTGCCGTCGGGACTGAGAGTCCACACATTTTTGATTGCCGAGGGCTCCCGCGCTGAAGATTTCCACGGTAATTCTGCGCTGAGGTCCTTCCCGTTCGATCGTTCTCTCGGTGCAGACAAACAATTGCCAAAAGTTTTGCTATCGAAGTGCAAGTGTCGGAAGTACGTACAGGTACCCATTGATTCGCATCATATGACGCGCCGTTATCATCATTCCTCTTCTGAAAGTTCGGACGCCCGCCACCACACCATCGTTGATGACCCCGAGGACCTTGATCGAACGATTTAACGAATGGTATCGATTCACTCTGCGTACATCGGTTCCGATAAGACGGAACGCCACGAACCCTGAGGTGAAGAGATCGTTATCTTAGTATTCTCGCTCGGGCGTTGCGCGTCGCCCGATATCCTCGTCATCGATTCCGTGTGCTAAAGGCTTCAGAATCGGATTTTCTCCCCGTCCGAATTGAGGTGCTGTCCAGCGAAGATCCCAGAAGTTCCCCGAGCTCCGCATTCCCTGGAATGCTCTGGTTCGGATCCGTATATTCCGATCGCGATCGGATCCTCGTAAGGCGCCCGAAAGGAAAAAAACAATAGCTCCGTCCCCGAGCCATTGAATGGAGCAGATGACTGAGAGCAGCATGAAAGCGAGACGCGTAATTACTTCCTTTCAGACCCGCGTGTGTCCACGATGTGCGGAACTCCTCGCACAATCTCCGCCGATAACCACGTGCTCGCTGCTACGAGGGATCTCATTTTCGCGATATAAGTTCGCTGGACGATGATTAGAAGAGAATGCGGCAGCGACAAAGATAAGCCCTTCCCTCTTCGACTCCTTCTCTGGCTCTTGGTCGAATTGACGGATGACTTCTGTGACTTCAATGGAGGATGGGAATCGACTGACTGCAAGCTGCAAGTTAGCATATTTCCCCGCCAGGAAACTCAGGAGCGGGATCTATCGTAGGCCAGGAGCCACCGTTCAATGAGACGCTCCGTCACTCATTCGTCCGCTCGTCTTGGCACAAAGACCGTGCGAACCACTCCGCCCGTTGGCACCACCGGGCCGAGAAACTTTATCCGTTGAAATTTCCCAGGGGTCACATTACGGGCCACAAAAATTAAAGTTCCGAGCCCCTTGACGAAGACGAGTTTTTCTCCGTCTTCCTGTCTGTTCCCTCCATCGGATATTCTTACGGCTCCAGATCGGTAGCCTCGCGAAGCCACTCACCGCATAACTAGCATGTTCAATAGAGACCGACTGAGTGTTCGTTTGCCGGTCGGTCGGTGGGCCTACGAGATAGTCGGTCGCACTCAATGAAGTCCGAGGCTCCTCTCGGTCCCCCTCCGGAGCTCCCTATCCACCATCATCAAGCTCATCTTGAGACTCCGGTCATTTCTCTCCGGCGGCTTGAGGTGGCATCGGGCCACCAGCCACCCGATGGTGTTTTAGTCATGAGGGAGCGCATAAGGGATAAATAGATACCACCACGACGGAGAGGGGAGGGGGGAGTGGGGTGGGGGTCGGAGACCAGGGGCAGCAAGCAGAGCCGCTAAAAGCCAAAGAGTAGAGGTTGCTTGGCTGTTTGGTAAACTGTCGTGCGGTTGCCCCGTCCGCCACCGCCGCGTTCGGAGACACGCTTGCATATATGCACTGGGCCGAGGCATCATCATAGACCCACGGCACGGCTCCAGGCGCGCACATCATTTAGTAAACAAAATTGATTAAGCTCCAACGTAGTTGGCCCGCCGGTCGCCTGGTCGGGCTGGGACGCCGGTAGGGACTGCGTGGTCGTGGCAGATCCAGTGCGCGTCCGCGCAAGCGACACCACTGGCTATAAGCGACGGCCACGCGTCGGAATATAAAGCGGAAGAGCGAAAGGAAGAGTCCACAATGCATCATTTAGGTCAACTCGCTCAAGACTGCAGCCGTGGAGGTGACGTTAATCACTGTGACCATTACTCTCCGCGGCCCGGTGTTCTCAAACGCCCGGGATCGCCCCGTAAACGCTCGGCGGACCCCGCGAACGGGACGAACCCCGTCAAGAGAACCTCTTGCTCGACCACTCGCGCCGGCTCTCTCGGAAGCTCAAGCTTCTGGGATTGGCGTGAATCGCTCGAGCCGCTAGGGCCCCAGAGCGCGTTCAGAGCCGCTCCGAGCTGGATATGGAGTTTGAATCGAAGCCTTTCGGGGAAAAGTCGTCCGGGAAAAATCCAAGAACGTTAAGCGGCTCCTTTCCGCCGTTAAGTGAAGCATGAGCACTCTTCGACCAACCTTCTCTGATTGCCTAAGCCCACGGATGAAGCGTCGGTTGGTCTAGAGTTTGAGAGTTTTCGGAGAACGGGAAGCAGGAAAAAAAAGACTTACAATCGTTTTCAGACTCGGAAGGAAACAGCTGCCACCGGGAAAACTCCATCGGGAGAGAGAGATTACCTACATTGGTGGGGCCCCTGGACAGAATCATTTTTGAAAAAATCGCCCTCTATCCCGGTCTCTCTGGAATGTGCAGATCACAAATCACAGGGAACTGATTCCCCTCAATCAGGCTTACCGAAGGAAGACTGACGAGTAACTACGAGTACCTACTCATCCAGCCTGCTCTCCGGGTCTTAATCCAATGTGTTTGGGAGCGACGTAGAACTTTGATTCATCTCAGAGAGCTACTCTGTCGCTGCCGTGGAAGTGGAAGCGAGAAACGATGAAGTGAATCGAGGATACATGATTGATGAGGGAGCTGAGGGTCTCCTCAGTTAGCAGTGTACTCTGTTGGTGTCGTTGTTGTTGTTGTTGTGGCGGAGGCGGCGCGGGAGCCCAAGCGGGGAGAGTGCAACAAGGGTCCAACGCTTTTTAACGATGTCTCAATCTCTTGATCCTCCGTTCTATCTCCTTTCTTCCTGCCTCCCGAGCAGCCGCCTTCTGCTGCCAAAACCACACTCAAGTTTCGAATGCCAGGCGGGCTATGGACCGGTCGGTCGTTTTGTTCCCGACTCCATACTGTTCCAAGTAGAGAAATCTCTTTTCTTCTACCTCGCGCATTGTGGTGGTGTCCCCGCTCCGCCGGCATGGCGAGGGAAGGTTCGAGTTCATTAAAATCGCTGCGAGCGCCGCGTCCGCAACTTCTCCACGATTCAGGATACAGAGGCTTCTCCTTGATTTTTGATTCGTCGGTCGACTGTCGTTCTGCGCTCCGGCTCTCGGTTCGCAGAGAGGAGCTTTTG